TTTGTCAATCTTAAAAAATAATTTCCATGTCAAAAAAGTCACAGTTTGTCGTAAAACTGTTGAAATATAAGACTATGAAAAATACGCAACTAGAAAGACTACAAATCCCAGAGTCGCGTAAGTGATGTCACAATTGTTTTCCTCCACTAAGAGATAGCTAAGATCAGCGCCATATAGATAGAATCTATCTATATGGCGCTGGCTAAGATAAGATAACTTTAACAAGATGCCTGTGTGCTTAGTACCAGGTTGTTATCATACCAGCAATGGGTCTTGCTCGTTCTTTCGCTTCCCGTCTGATGAAAGGACCAGCAGTGTCTGGATCAAGCTAGCTAGTAGCTAGCACGTTAGTTAGCATTACAGTCTTGTCATTTTTATTAGCCTTAACATGAAGTAACATTAAGTAACCCAAAATGTTAAACAGTAAGAGTAGTAGTCATATTTCGTGAACCCTTTGAATAGTACTGTCACCGGTGTGATCATTCTATAATACACAATTTAAGCCCGGGGGAGAAATGCTAACGCTAGCATCGGCGATCTTCTCTACTTCATGCTATCTGCACAAATGGTTGACATTAAACATTAAAAAGACCAGGCAGTTCAGAGAGAATCAAAGGAAGGCAGGCAGGCAGGCAGCTTTGCATGACTTTCTTCAGGACGTGTTTCATTGTGGTGATAGTGAGGGTAGTCAATCGTTTTGTTGACAAGACAGTAGTGACGGCCATCTTGGTGACGTATGTTGTTCTGTGAGACCAGAGATAGTAGTTCATTGAGCGTTTCATACAAACAAATGTGTTACTTCACAGTTTTACGACACATTTTATTTTTTTTTACTTGCAAAATTATCTTTTAAATTGACAAACATGATATGTGTAATTTGTGGCACAATTCAAACGGGATCGAAAGATAATCTTTCTCTCTCCATTGACTTCAATACATAATTTTTCCGAAATAAGGTCCCATGGAGGTCCACCGGAAGGGGAGGGACTTCGCCACTCTATTAGCTGTGCGGTGTCATCACAAACGGACGTCGCTTCACGTGACGCTCCGGAGGAAAGGACGTCCCATTGCTCTTAAAACTCATTTCCCTGCTTCTCGTGGTTTCCTTGCGTCTCTCCATGCTTCCCTGGTGGGAGGGACTAAACGCAGGGAAACAACGCAAGTGAGGGACGCAAGGATTCCATTTAATCGACCTGAGAAGCAGCCAGGGTGTTTCTCAATTGCGAGTAAAGCTGCTGCAGAGCCACTATTTCAAGCATACTACGTCATCGAGTGCCGCCGAAGTACTGTTCCAATCTCCAGCATACTTGGAAATCTACCGAGCCCGGCGTACTCCGTTTGGAGAAATATCGAGGCTGCACATGAGTAGACTCCGCGGTCTTAAAATCCCCACAATGCTTTGCGCACGGACCAATTTCCCCAAATCTGTGACGGAAAATGTAAGACGGGGCCTCTCATATGACGCACACCTGCACACTTGCTAGCCTGTTTCACTCTTTGTTTTCCGAATGCCAGGAAGTATTCTTGACTCGCTTCTGAAGCAAGATGGAGTAGTATGAAGCTGCAGCGTCGCACTCATGGGACCACACTCTCAGGACCCTAGTTGTTTTGCAACATCGCCACCTAGTGAGCAGGAGACATGAATATGAACGACAACGCAGAGAGTGTGAGTAGTGTGAAGTGCTTTTAAAGTTGTATTTGTTTAACATTAATAACAATTCCGGTGTCTTGAAATGAAGTATGATTAGCTAACATTAACTATGATAGTCTTAAGGCAATACAAACAAACATCTGTTAGCTTATAATAGCTTCTAACAGTATTAAAGGCACTAAAAACAATTATTTGTTAGCTTTCGGCAAAAGCATTGTTAGCAAAAGCATTAGCTTCGTTAGCATATTTGATTATTTGTTTAATGAAACTGTAGCGTGATTTTGGCAAGCCCAACTAGGTGTCCTACATTAATTGTTGATTTAATCACTAATTACAGTAAGAGTGTGAGTAATGTGAATCATGTTGTTTGTTTAAAGTTAACAACTATTCTGGTGTATTCAATTGGACAACAATACAAGCAACACGTGCTAAATGTCAATGAAACCGTATGTTATGGTTATGTTATTTAGCAGAGGCTTTTATCCAAAGTGACTCACAAAAAACATAAAAGAACCATAATTAACATTAGATTATCAATACAAATAGTTACATAGTCAGTTACATTACGTATTACATTTTTAACAGGGTAATTAGTCATCTGTAACCTACTACATTTAAAGTAAACTTCCCAACCCTGATCATTAATTATAGTCAGCTAATTAATTAAACTTCAAAGGATGACAAAAGCATGTCAATATGATCTGTCTGTCCGCTACATTAAATCAGCAGTAGCCTAATATAAGTTCTGTCTTCAGTGTAAATGCTTCTTTAATAGTCATTGTATTACTATTTGAATTCATTGTAAATAATCGTAACTGTGATGACTGCCTGTTTACTGTCTCATCATTTTGACATGTTTTGTAATATTGCATGAGGTGTTTTAGTCAGTTATTATGTCGGCCTATTCTGTAGATTAGAATCTGTCGTGTCAGAATCTAACAATTAGGCCTAATTTATGTCTGTCTGTGAAAGTATTTCAAAATGTTCAGTTTGACCAATTAGGCTCTCTTTTTCAAGATGCATATTTCAATCCAAGAGGGGAGATCCTTGCCCGACTTACAACGATGCACTACATGTTGCGAAGTCTTTCACTGCCTGTTCTGTGCCTCAAATGTGTTCCACCCAGCCAAACTGAGCAAGGTCCAAACCCATTTAGAGAGCCACTTCAACCGTGCAGTTCTCCATGAAGGTAAAGTTTGCAAACATTCTCTTGTGAAATGCAAATGAAGTTGCAATGTGTCTGCATTAAAAGCAGCCTGAATGTTATGATCAGTTCCATTTGAGCAATAAATCAAAACAAGTCCTTCTATGATTTGTTTGTGGTGACCAGTTACTTGATTCAGATGTTTGGTATTCATAATTTACACTTTAAAATAATATGATCACAAAATAATAATACTACAATTCTATGTTCTTATGTTTAAGGGTATACCATTCACAGATGTGCATTAAATTGCAGACCAGGATTTCATTTCCACTGCTTCTACTGCCAATCAATGCTGACGCTTCCCGGGGTACTGCAGCTGGAGCTGTTTTCTGGTGGTTGAGGGAACAGCAGACCCCGCCTCACCCCAGTGAACAATCCACAGTGTGGAAATTGTGCCCAATAAATACAAATGTATTCTGCACTGAAATGCCTCTCGTCAAATTGCATGTTTATCTTTTGCAGCCTGGTGCATAAACACACTAACAGTTGTTTTTGAGTAATCTAGCACCTCTTCAAAGACACATTTGATTTGATTTATTTCGAACGTGTAATACAATAAAAAAAATATATATAATAATAATAAAATGAAACAAGAGAATTATGATACTGGAGAAACATAAGCAGTATCAAATTGATTCAAAGGAGTTTACACTTATTTAACCCCACCCCTTCTCCCAAAAACTAAATTAACAGTTTTGTTTTGTTTTAACAAAATATACATCTAAATGTATGTCTACATACAATATACATTTACAATTATAAATAGATTATATCATTATTACTACAATATATATATATATATTTATGTTGTATGTCAAATTTGATAAGACAAATATAAAAGACTATCTTTATACATACAAAATACATTTGTTATTAAATAACAAAAACATATTAACAACAACTTGTTGTTAATAATAATAATTTAATTTCAGTAAGAAAAACATATTTTCATGCATTTTTAGATGGTTAATAACAAGCATTACAATGTCTAAAGAGACTCGCTGTGTATGAGACTCAATACTCGCTGGTTGTACTTTTGCGGTCATCCAATCCGCTAGGTGGCGATGTGAGTGCGGTCCTGTGAGTGCGGTCCTGAGAGTGCAGCCTCCGACGCTGCAGCTTCATACTATTGGCAAGATGCTCGGCAGACATGTGCTACCAAGCAAGCGTACTCGCGATTGAGAAACACCGTCTGTCTGGCAATACAGTCAATCATTATCCTGGTGATTATTTCGCAGATAAACCTAGTAACCCCGCCCCCTTTTAAAAAACGGCTCTTTTGAACGGCTCTTTGAAAGGAACGGAGCCATAAGATCCGGCTCCCTTCAAAGAGCCATAATTCCCATCACTAGTACGCCGGGCTCGGTAGATTTCCAAGTATGCTGGAGATTGGAACAGTACTTCGGCGGCACTCGATGACGTAGTATGCTTGAAATAGTGGCTCTGCAGCAAATCAAATAAAATAAAATCAAGGTTTATTTATAAAGCACATTTAAAAGCGATTTTTGGTCGGGCTACAATCACATAAAAACACATTTCTATAATCACAATAAAAGACAATAAATTACAACAGATATTTAAAAAAAAACACAGGGAAAAGTCAGGAGTCGTGCTCCGCTCTGACTAAAAGGCCAGGGAGAAGAAGTGTGTCTTAAGAGTAGATTTAAAAACCCCTAGGGTCTGGGCCGACCTCACATGGAGGGGCAAAGTGTTCCAGAGCCTCGGGCCAGCTGCTGCGAAGGCTCGGTGCCCTCGGGTTTTGAGCCTGGTCTTGGGCACTATCAGCAACAGCTGGTCAGCAGACCTTAAAGCTCTTGTTGGGGTGTAGCGCTGGAGGAGTTCAGCTATATAGGCCGGAGCCAGCCCATTTAGTGCTTTAAAAACAAATAAAAGGAGTTTAAAATCAATTCGGAACCGAATTGGAAGCCAGTGCAGTGAGGCCAGAATTGGGGTGATGTGGTCACGCTTTTTGTGGCCAGTGAGTAGACGTGCAGCTGCGTTCTGGACTAGCTGCAGGCGTTTAATTGACGCCTGGTCCATACCCACGTACAGAGCAGCTTTACTCGCGATTGAGAAACACCCACAGTGTCCTCAGGATACACGGTCACTAATACTGCCGTTTTCCCGCCGACCTGCAGGAGGCAGCAGAGTCTCATCGGACAGACCTCTGCACCCGGAAACGCTTTCAAAGCTGCTGAGCATGTGTTTACCACACTGAAATGAATTATCTTCAACTACATACATAATAAAAACCTCACCAACATGTCGTCAAAAAGTCGGGATAACGACGATAACTGTGAGGGACAGTCTGCGGTGAAGGAGGAGCTGAACAGAAAGGTGACATGTAGCTGCTGACTAATGTGAAGCTAAATATTAGCTGGTAAACATGTAGCATATGTCATCACAACTCAACAGAATATATACGTTAATATATAGGCTATATGTAAATTAACAGACTCATTGTTCTCTTTTCTACATGCTACATGTCTCTAAATAATTTACCATGGCATCCTGAGAAGTTTGAACTTTTATCAGGTCAGAAATAAATTCATGTTGCTAACTTTCAGATCAAGGAGCAGAAGGTGGTCGTGGACGAGCTCTCCAATCTGAAGAAAAACAGGGTAAATAGAATTTCCTCTAAATACAGTTCTTGTATCTCTCAGAAAATCTGTATATTTAGGTACAATTTGTGTGTATTCCCTCCCCCAGAAAGTCTACATCCAACAGAGGAACAGTAACATTTTTTTCCTAGCAGATAGAAGTCACACACTGGGGGCATGCAAACGTAAGTTGAGAGCCGTATATTTTGAAATATAATTTTAACAGATACACTCGCTATTTGTCTGTCACGTTGATTCTCAACTGAGGCTGCACAATAGTTTAATGGACATAACTGGTTATCAATTTTATCTACAGAGGAACTGGATGACATGAAAAAGGATCTGCAGGATATATAAGACTAACCACCACAATGTGCGGTATCTTCTGTCTGTTGAGTCTGTCCCCGACTCAGTTTGAGTGGGACAAGACAGTTTATGAACATTTAAAGAGAAGAGGGCCCAACTTGAGCCAGAATCTCACAGTTAGAAGCACAAAGCCCTGCTATCAGTGTGTATTCTCTGCCCACGTTCTTCACCTGAGAGGCCTTCTCACCCCGCAGCCAGTTGAAGACAGCAGAGGAAATGCCCTGGTATGGAACGGGGAGATTTTTGGAGGTGTCCCAGTGATGCCGGAGGAGAACGACACTGCTGTTGTCTCTCAGCGGCTCTCGTCCTGCAACAGCTCTACAGAGATTCTGTCCTTTCTCTCCACTGTACGCGGACCGTGGGGCTTTATTTACTACCAGAAGGCTGGGGACTACCTCTGGTTCGGCCGAGACTTCCTTGGTAGGAGGAGTTTGCTGTGGAACTTTGATGCAGAGGTCAAAGCCTTGACTCTGACTTCTGTGGCAGCCCACAGTGCTGGACCTGCTGCATCTGCGTGGCAGGAAGTCCCAGCAGCTGGTGTGTACCGGATTGACCTGAAGGCAGTCTCAGAGGCAGGTTGTGTAACATTTGAGGTTTATCCCTGGGCTTACGGAGAAAATTGTCCTTTCTATAGCTGTACTCAAACTATATTAGAGTCTGTGCCGAGCGGCTGCACTGCTGTTATTAACCGGTCAGGCCTTGCATTGACCTCCCCTGTGTGCCCTCTCAATACATCCATCCCTGAGTCTTTAAACCAGGAAGAAATTCATCCAAACGCTCATCCCTGTGATCAAGATCTGGAGCAGCTGCCTGCAGGCAAAGAGAGAGGCGAGGCGGTGAACCGTCTCATTGATGTTCTCAGCGAGGCAGTTAGGCGTCGCGTTCAGGCTCTGCCATCACAGGACAATTCTGCTCCGTCTAATGACAATGCCAGTATTGCCATGCTGTTCTCTGGAGGTATAGATTCAATGATCCTGGCCGCCTTAGCTGACCGTCACATTCCTGCACATCAACCAATAGACCTTCTCAATGTAGCGTTCAAACTACAGGTGCCAAAGAAGCAGAAAGAGTCTGCAAAGAAACCTGTGAAGCACAAAGATAAGCCCACAGAGTGTAAGACTGATGGCACCGAGTCCCTGACCTCCAGCCCTTTCGATGTTCCAGACAGAATAACAGGGAGAGCCGGTCTCAAGGAGTTACAGCAGCTAAACCCTGAAAGGAGGTGGAGGTTTGTTGAGATCAACGTCACAAAAGAGGAGCTGCAGAAAACCCGTCAGGAGCGCATTAGTCATTTGGTGCATCCCCTGGACACGGTGCTGGACGACAGCATCGGCTGTGCTGTGTGGTTCGCTGCCCGAGGGGCAGGCTTCATCACGGGGGACGGGGACCAGAAGCCTTTCACATCCTCCGCAAAGGTGAAGTACAACAAACAACCCTTCCAGGACCAAATGGCCCCTGGGTTCTTTAACTACAGTTATTGTGGTGGGGAAAAAAGTAGAGTGACAATTGCTAAAATAACAATACATAGATGTGCTTTTCTTAGTTTTAACAAAACAAAAATACATTAAAAGAGATGTTTACAATCAACAACAAACACATTGACCTGCTATTCTGTGCTGCAGGTCATTCTGACCGGCATCGGAGCAGACGAGCAGCTGGCAGGCTACTCCCGACACAGAGTCCGGTTTAAGACGTCTGGACACCAGGGACTGATCCAGGAACTGGCCATGGAGCTGGCCAGGATCCCTTCCAGGAATTTGGGCAGAGACGACAGAGTGATAGGGGACCATGGGAAGGAGGCCAGGTTAGTGAGCTTTTAATTTAATTTTGTGTATATAAACATACTGCTCTGGAAAAAATAAATAGACCACTACAAAATTCTCAGTTTCTCTGGTTTTACTATTTATAGATAGGTATGTGTTTGAGTAAAATACAAATAAATATTTGATTTTTTTAAAACTGCAGACTAAATTTCTCTGTGTTGGAATTCAACAGACACTGGAATGGAATGGCTGCAATACATGTAGAGATTTAAGAAACATTTGACGGGTTCATCTCTTTCAGAGCTGTATATGTCGATATTAAATGTATTTAATCTGTGGGACGGTGGTACATTTAGTTCTCTGTCTGTACCACACACTCAAGAGATATTGATAATAAAGGTGACTTTGACTTGGTGCGGCTGTTGATATGCATGTCAGCAGAGCCTTAAGGCATGTCTTGAAGCTGCCTATTTTATCTGTCCAACAGTCGCACTGTAAGATCTTTGCAAATATTTTGACTTCACCATTAAGGTTAATGTTTAAATCGTTTGTTTCTTGTGGGATGCAAGCAGGACAAACCAAAGGGACACTCATAAAAACAAAGTGTAGTGACTTTGTCAGTCAAGTGCCTAAACAGTCCCAGAATGGAGAGGTACTCTGAGAGAAGTACATCTCCTCGGTACTGTAGAGGTTCCTCTGAGCAAGGCATTAGATTCCCACAATGCTTCGCCGTTTATATAATCCTAATACTAGGATCGGTAAAATGCTGAGACCAAATGTAGTGTGTGACCATTAAAAGAGGATTTGATTAGAATCCTCTATTTCCAGAAACATTGTTCCGTTATGCTACTAATGGTCAAAAAGTCCACAGTAAAAGGAGGATTCTGTTTAAGCACCCTGTCAACAGAGATAGAAAGCAGGACAGTGCAGACGTATTGTCCTCTGACCGCGCTCCCACTGATTAACTTCAGTAAGTATGAGGCAGACTCACTGAGAGACTTTATTAAAGTGTGAAGAAATCCCATTTAGAGCCTAGTATCTGACCCCTGCCTCTGCCTGCAGATTTCCCTACTTGGATGAAGATGTGGTGAGCTACCTGAACTCTCTGCCTGTGTGGGAGAAGGCGGACCTGTCCCTCCCTCGAGGCGTCGGGGAGAAACTGCTGCTGAGACTGGCAGCCAGACAGCTGGGCCTCGGCCAATCAGCTGTCCTGCCCAAGAGAGCCATGCAGTTTGGATCCCGCATTGCAAAGATGGAGGACCACCGGGAGAGGGCCTCCGACAAATGCACAAGACTCCTCACTGAGTAGAAAAACTCAAGTAGTAAAGTGTAATGAAGAGACTTTAAAAATCAATTTTTAATAGAAAATATTAATTGGAAAATGACATTATTTACAGTTACAATTCTTGATTTAATGTGACAGACAAATAGTTGAATATTGATTGATTATCTGCTGGTCTTGGATCATTTTTGAACATGGCAAAAATAAATATGGTGCTTCAGTTCATCTCTGTTTCCTCTACACCATGTAAGACTCGACATCTTGAAGTGTTTCTCTGAAGTACAGGTCACATTCAATATAGGACGGCAAGTTTCCGACATCAAAACGCCCAGAAATCTCATGAATGTATACTGGCTTCCTATAAGAAAAAAACAAACAAAACAGTCTCGTTTATTGAAAGATTCACAGACAAGGTGCCTGTAAAAAAAAGTGTTAGCTTTAGCTGAGTAAATCCTACATGTATGAAAACTGTTCATACATGTAGGATGATCATAAAGAAACACCTTAATAAATCCAAATCTCATGTTGTGATCACAGTAAAGGATCACAAAGAAAAACAGCTGCTAGTCACTAAGCAGGAATACTATATTATGAGGAGTAAAAGCTCGGGGGGGGCAGCACACATTACCTGGGAATGAGCCAGGACACAAAGTTTCCTGGGGCATCTTTCTCTTCAATGGGAGCCTCCTGTGGAAATACAAAGTGGAGCAAAATGGTAACAATAAAACGCTTTATTCTTCATTCACGGCACACGTGAGACTTTCTATTATTTCATATACCTTCTTTTCTTCCAGGAAGTTCTCCAACAGAGGAAGGCTTTTCTTTGAAAACATATAGAAACAGGGACACTGAAAAACAAAAGGACATTATTACCTCAAGAGTATAGATTTATATACTGCACATGTTGAAAATGTTTAATTTCTGTTTTTTTTTAAATTTTTCAAGGAATTTCATTACCCTGGGTATCCTGTAAAGATGTATTTGCACATGTACTCATGTACTCGTCTTGCTGAAGGGGAAATAGTTTAAGACTAGCAACTAAAGTGAATAAGAGCATCATTGGGGAAACCACCTACGTCTATAGAGAGGCGAAGTCCCTCCCTTTCCGGTGGACCTCCATGGGACCTTATTTCGGAAAAATTATGTATTGAAGTCAATGGAGAGAGAAAGATTATCTTTCGATCCCGTTTGAATTGTGCCACGAATTACACATATGTTTGTCAATTTAAAAGATAATTTTGCAAGTCAAAAACACTTTTATTTGTGTGAACCGCTCAATGACCTACATCTCCCGTCTCGCACCACACACCAAGACGGCCGTCACGTTGTCACATTTCACTTCTTTCTTTCAGAATGAGGCGAAAAGTATTAAAAGAGGTGAAAATCACTTCAAGTCTGGGCATGTTGAGAGCTGTACATACACACAAGGGGAGTTACTCGGTTCCTAAGAGCCAGCATGCGGGACCGGGATTCTGGGATTTGTAGTCTTTCTAGTTGCCTATTTTTCATAGTCTTATATTTCAACAGTTTTACGACAAACTGTGACTTTTTTGACATGGAAATGATTTTTTAAGATTGACAAACATCATATGTGTAATTCGTGGCACAATTCAAACGGGATCGAAAGATACGTTTTCTCTCTCCATTGACTTCAATACATCATTTTTCCGAAATAAGGTCCCATGGACCGGAAGTAGATGGGCGTGACTTCGCCACTCTATGAGTCTGAATCATTAGCCCACCACTGCAAAGGATGTGAAACCAAAGAACAAATATCATTTATTATCTTGCTAAATCAGGCTACTAAAAAAAGGTTAACAATAACATCTTATTCTTCTGATGTGGAACATTAATTGTTCAGGTGGCTCTACCCTTTTTTGAAAGACCTGAAGCCTGTTGGCTCCATCTGGCCTGCAGTAGTGTGTGTGATGAACTTACTGCTCTCCTCGACTGTGTCTCCGCAGGAAGAGGTTTCTCCTTCATACAGAGGACGTGAAGATCACCGTCTACTTCCAATATCCCGTATTTACTCGTTTCTGTACAGACACACAAACAGATAAGATAAATCCATGTTTGACATTTAATGAGGAGATAGCTTCCATAGGGTCAAAGTCTTATCTGACTCACCCTCCTCTTGGCACTGGTAGGACAGCAGCAGACAGCTGTCCTCACTCTCTGCCTGGAGCTCATTGAACCTCTCCTTTACTTTCTTCAGGCTGAAATCTTCTTTAAACAGCGTGTCTCTGTTATGATGCAAAGGGACTTGTGAGAATCTTGAATGTTGATTTGTAACAACACCTTTGCACGGTTTTGTTGGTAATGTTATCTTACCCCCCAATAACTAAGACATGGTCCTCTATGTTGAAGTGCTTGACGGCCAGCTGCAGACAGGCCACAGCCCCGAGGCGGCCCTGTGGAAGGAGAGAGGCAGAGGATGCTGTAGAAGAGAGGCATGGACAAAGCATGGCATTATTTCTAAAATGATATTTACTTCATTGCTTGTCGTCTGATCGCTGAGAATCTTGACATTTGTGAAATGTGATGCCCACTCTTCAAACGCAGCATGGTAAACAGCGTTGGTCTGTGGAGAGAAAGGGATGAGCGGCGAGGTCGTCCTCAGGTCGGCTTCAAACTGCATTATTAGGAACAGCATCCCCGATCCATGATGCAAACATTTCTATTGGCATCATGCCATATGTACTAAAGAGCAATACAGATAATACAAGAAAAAGCATTATGTAGAATGGCTGATTTTAGATTTTCCTCAAATATGTTTGAGTAGGTTGATGCTTAATAATGACTCATTTTAACTGCTATATATTTATATAGCCTACTCTTTGGTAGTTGGTTCTTTTTTAACAACGCATCCTATTTCAAATGTGATGATGTTTGCTTCAATATATTAATATGCTAAGTTACTTGAAAGTGAACAGCTGATACTCAGGTCATCAGGTCTAAAGAAATAATACAGACAATACGGATTATGAATACTCTGTAAATATAAGTCCTATATTCATACATGTACTTAAGAAAAAGTACAAACATATTAGCATCAACACATATTAAAATAATAAAAGGTACTCATTAAGCAAAATTAGACCTTAAATAGAAATGTATACATTTAAGTTTTATTATCATTATTGATGCATCACTGGAGCTGGGTGTGGATTTCCTACCAGAATTTAATCAGTTATAATATATATCATAATTGCATTTTCTTGTATTAATCTATTTGAGGTGAATTAACTTAAGATGTGAGATAAATGCAGTGGATTTAAAATAACAATATTATCTAATATAATGTTATAAATGTGAAATCTAGCATTAAAAGAAACTACGTATACCCAATAGCCTACCTACTTAAGTACAGTATTTTTTCATGAATTTATGTAACTTTCGACCATTCCATAGAGATGATTGAGTAAACATATGTGGTTTGTTCTGCTATCATCACTCACTACCACATGGATGCAGTCCACGCAGCGGGCCGCGGTCAGGGCTCGGACCCAGAGAGAGAGCAGCGCGCCGCGGCCCACCGGCAGCAGCGGCTTGGCGGTCCCAGCCAGGTGAGCGAACCTCCCGCTGCTGTCGGCAGCCACGTCCCTCTGGAGCCTGGTTCCGTACCCGGCGGCGAGAATTACAGCTTTCATTTGACCTCTGAACAGGGGAGACTCTCACTATATTAACCTAAGATGTGGTAGGAAGGAAAGTTAAACATTAGTACAGGAAAGACCCACGGCCAGTCGGACTCATCTCGCGAGTTCACAGTCCACCAAAAGTCCGTCTCCGCGAGACTCAAGCCTTATAGCGCTTCCGGTTACAACTTTCAAAACAAAAGTGTAGCCGAGAGCTGTGATAGGGTCCTATGCAGTGTTGCCAACTCCATAGTCCGAAAAGTCGCCAGAAGTCCCTAAATGACGTCATCGCCTAATTTGCATATCATGTAATAGCGGTAAAAAAACGTTCCACCCCCTTCAAGGATCAAAACTTGAAACCACCAGACAGAGTAAATCCAGACGACAGTAGATCAAAAATGTCTCTATTAGAAAAGGTAGAAAGTAGTTTTTAGTAGAAATCTCCCTTACAATAAAGGCAGTATAGTATGCCCGTGTGTGTCATCTCCAATAAATGGCTTCAACCATCCTTTAAACTCAGGGTTTGATTCCCACTCCTTTCTGTACTTTTGTGAATACAGTTTAGACTGTGACATGATGACCTACGTGGATGTTTAGCTTGTCACAGAGGCACAAACACACAGTGGACGAGGTGATAGTGACTGAGGCTGTGTGAGTCAAAGCAAAGCAAAGGCAGTTATTTATTATAGTGTGACAGTGACAGTGACAGAAACATTTACATTTTACATTTAAATCCCGCTCATGCGCAATTCATTTGCCGTCTCGACGCGGGAGTGTGGCTGTCTCCTCTCTGCTCTGACTGCAGCTGAGCTGCTGCGGGAGGCAACTGTGAGTCTGAGCGCCTGTGAGTACTATGGGAGGGCAGACGGGCTCACGGCAGCACCCGCGGCTCGTTAACTGCTGAACAATATGTGAGTCTCCAAACACCAGGAAAGTCCCTAATAACACCATTACAAGTCGTTAAATTAGTCGTTAGTCGCTTTTGACAAAAATAAGTAGCCGGAGGGTTTGGAAAGCCGCCGAATTTAACGAGAAAGTCGCCAAGTTGGCAACACTGGTCCTATGATAAGGAAAATACCTCATGGACATTGTGAGCCTTATCAAGAGTTAAGACCAGAGAACTTAAGCTTGGAGAGTAACCAATGTATTGAATACACAACTCTATGCAAGTCGGTCCATTCTGTCGTTTGCAAAGAGGAATGTATGGACATACACATGGTGTGTTGAGAGCAGACCCGGCGCCGTGGGAGGGCCCTCCCATTTGACATTCCTGCCCTCCCCAATAAACGTTTTTTCTTTAATAAAAATAAAAATAAAAATATTTTTAATTTGTTTTATTATAGATAAACTGTGAACTTTAATGCTACGATGTATGTGATGTCACATAGTAATATAAGAGTAATAAATGAAAAACAGGTATGAAATACTATATGGCAGTAAAACAAGAATACACTTTAAAAGGAGAGTGATTAGTAAAATATCCATAAAGAAAAAGTAAATCTGTTTACAGTTCTGTTTCATATGGGTGTTGAGAGAGGTATCGATAGATCTCTTCATGTTGCTCTCAAAGTGCACCAGATTGATGCTTTCAACTTCAATATTAAAAACAAATCTTCCCGGGGGAGCATGCCCCCGGACCCCCTAGAGGTTAGGTCCACCCCCCACTTAAAAAAAATAGCACTTTACCCCTGCTTACACCTATATATGCTGTGAGCTGATTATCGAGCCTTCATTGCAACAGTCGCGGGTACACTGTGTGTGTGTGTATGGGGAGTGTTGCAGTAGAACATTCCTCTGTAGCACCCGGTACCTTAATGGGAAACCCTACATGTTTGAGCACCCTCTATGAAACGTCAAGCTACCCCACAGCACTCCCAAAAGAAAATCTCTGGCGCCGCCACTGGCCGCGGCACATGACGGTTTTGTGTGCCCTCCCATGAAAATCATATGCCCTCTCTGTAGATTTGTTCTGGCGCCGGGTCTGGTAGAGGACATTATTTAGCTAAACAATTTAAATGTGCAGATCACAGTAAAGTGAAGCAGACAAATTGAAGCATTTTCTTTCTTTATTTGCCAACGAATCATCACATTAAAGTATATTGAATCCATATGCACAAATATCTTGATATTTTTTCCACAAAATGATTTTTTCTCAAGTACAAAAAGAACAAAGAGCTTCCTCTTAACCAGAAATTCTGGAAAACATGAGTTTGCAAAGACAGAAATGTGTATGGAGCATGTGTTTTGTCATTCTCCATTTTCGCTGCCGCTCCCAGCCCCAGGCCCTGTGACCTCAGCCTCCCCAGGCTGTTCGGGCCCGTGCAGGTCTGAGAGCTCAGCCTCCATCGGCTCCTCCACTGCTGCTGGTTCAGGGGAGGGGGTCGGAGTTGGCGTTGGCCTCGGGGTCTCGTCTTGTCTTGTCAGCTCCTCCTGTAGAGAACCACGAATAAGCTTGAAAGTCAGTACTTTTTATGTTGTGTTATAGACATTTTTATTCTATCGTGGATTGTAAAATATAGGTGCTCCATTCTAGACGGCTTGTTTCTGATCAAAATGAATGCACTTATAATTCCGGTCAGCATAGAGTAGTTCTTTGTTCATATAAGTGCACATTTGCACTCTCATTATGAATGAATGCAACACTTTTTAGAATTTAATGGTACGGTTCACCCAAAAATAATTAAATGCACATTAACGTAATGTCATTTATATTTGAAAGAAAATGTCTAAAAACATTCAATTCAATGGTCAATCATTGTTTTAAGAAAGAACACAAACATTTCATTCTTCAAACTTTAAGTAGTTAGAATCGGCCATGAAATGGCCAATGGGTGCATCTCTAATGCTAAGGTGTTCCAAACATGTGAAAAGATAAATCAAATGTTTATTGTCAATCTGTACTACCTGGGATATAGTGTCCCCAGCCTCCTCCTGTATCCGTGGAGCAGACTCCTCCTGCTCCATCGGCTCCTCCTCCTGCTCCTCCTCCTGCTGCTGCTGCTCCTCCTCCTTCATGGTGCTCCGCTGCTCCAGCTCTTCCAGGGCTGCAGCAGGAGCCTCTGCTTCCACTGGGACAGAAACCGAGGCAGGAACTGGCTCCATCTGAAAGAAGAGGATGTGTTCATGAGATCTGAGCAGGTATACATATGGAAGTACTTATTGTAGACATGATAATGTGGCCTAGCTCACAAGTCTGCAGTTTTTGTAAGATGATAGTTTGCTCTCTGAATACTATTTGGTCACATATCACCTCCATTAGTTGCTACAGCAAACAAACATTATTTTGTGTGATTTTATGTAAAAATATTAACATCTATACTTTTACAACAACTGCAAGACATTTGATATATGTCCCAATGTTCCAGTGTGCCATTCATCAGCAGAACTATAACACCTTTGAGTAAGGGTTTGTGGTTATGGAGCATGTACTGTGAATATCCCAAACAATTCCTACTGAGATCAAGCACAAGCAAACAACTTATGGGTAAGTGATGGTTTGACTTTTTTGAGACATTGGTCAAATTGGGTGAACACTGAATGACCAGCAGTGTTTGTAATACGTGACACCAATTAACGATTCAAGCAAATCATAATACCTGTCATGGAAAGATCAGAACAGTTTATGGGGGGGAAAGTGTGCAGGCTTTATCGATGATGTGCGTTTCTTCATGGGTTACCTCTTGCTCTACGACAGGCTCTATGACCACCACAGGCTCCACAGGCTTTGGTTCTGGCTTTTTATTTGCTTCCAGTACCGCCATGATGGAGGCAGGTATGTGAGCTTGCTGTTGCACAGAAAAACAGAAGGAGATGGTACATGATGAAATCCAGAGAACAGTAGAGTGTTGGGACTGTTTCAGGGGAAGCAGCTCTGACCTGGTGAGGGGTGAAGGAGAGGACGTGCTGCAGGAGGGGCTCCCTCATCTCTGGGCAGCGCTCAAACACGCTGCTGAGCGGGGCGGCCGGCAGCTGCAGCAGCACGCTGTACGACTGAGGCTTGGTCCTCTGGCAGCACTTCACAAAGCCCTCCCATACCTTAGGATACTTCCACACCTACAGGGGGACACCACATGATGTTGTGGTAATGGTGGAATATGGGGATTGATATTTATTAGCAGAAAAGTACAACTTTATTGGTAATCGTTTCTGAAGTGACAGAGTCTCTGACACGTCAAACACACAATATCTGTCATAATATTTATGTCTGCCAGTAGGGGTCTTCAATCAAAACAAAAACAAAAAGTCAGAGTTTGGTGTTCTTGTGAAGTAGTTTACACATCGGGGTTTCTCTAATACTGCTTGAATGCCACTAATGTCAGCTCAGTTGTTTCTCTGATATTTCAAGATCCAGATGTCTGATGACAAAGATCCTTTCACTTTTTAAAATATAAGGTTAAAAGATAATCATCCAAAAAAGTAAAAAGAACAGATTGCTCTGGAAATCAGGAAGAATAGTGAGCGTAGAAACGGAATATTTGGCTGGAGCTTGGCGCTGACCTGCTTGACGATGAGGCGGGACAGGATGTTCATGACGAAGCCTCCCAGCCGGGGATACATGGTGAGGGACTGGATGACGGTGCGCATGAGCAGCATGGGAAGGGGGCTCTGCTCCATCAGCTGCTGCATCACCACTGCCAAAACCTCCGACGTGTACACGTTCTTCTCCCCGAAGCACAGGTTGGTAGCTGTCGGTCACATGCAAAAAGAGACCGCTCACCTAACCGCTGAAAAGGTTTACCACAAAAAATCCATAGAGCTTCTAAAATAGGTCCCTATAATGGCCAACATGCATACAATCTAATTATGAGGTAGTTGTTGCTGTACTCAGATTCTAAAAGCAGGCACTGATGATGTTGTGAATGAAGAAAAATGAATTTAAATAATTATATTCCACAAAACATTGCATTAAAGAGGACAGTAACATCAGATTGAAGTAGGGCTGCTCAATTAATCGTATTTTAAATTGCAATTACGATTATGGCTTGCAACGATTACGAAAACAACGTAATCGAAATAAAACGATTATTTTTTTATTATTACTTTTTTTTTTCTTATAATTTTTTTTTTTTATTGGTTTTTCAGTTGAATTATACTTACATTTCAGGGTAATCAACTGTTAAAATCATACTGTTAAAAAAAAAATGTCTCCAAT